GGGCATCACGGTAATTTAGTACACACACCCATCTTCCCATCCCCTTCTTAGCAAATGAGGAGGAGTCGAAGGTCAGGACATAATTCCCATCCCCTCCTTTAGCTCCTGAATCAAGAGCTGCAGATTTGTCTGTGATTCTCCAGGGAAGTGCAGGGAGCTTGGCACCGTCTAATAGGCTTTCCTGCATGTTGAATTTTCCCATGTGATTCATCATCAGACAGTCACAGGCGAGGGAAGCCTGGAGAGTCTCAGATGTATGCTTGCCCTTTCTTTCGTCTCTGCGCTACCTGTCTGTTCAGATTAGAAACCCACGAGGCATGTCTACCTCTGTGCTCTGTGTAGTGCCCACCAATTGTGGATGCTCATAGAACGTGGATGATTGATGATGGTGTTAATCTGAGTAATAACAGGCATTTGGGCATGATCTCAAGGTAGCTTCTCAGTGCTGGGTTATAAATGTGTGCATCTTACAGAGGAGGAGGAAACCCAGTGAATGGATAACTGCAGATGTCGGCATCAGAAAGGCCCAGTTTAAAATGCTCCTCCTTGTAAAAACAAAGATCAGATCAAGCAAGCCAGCTGTCAGCAAACAAATGCTCACACAAACTGTAGTATCAAGACTTTTTAACAGAATCACCAATTGTGTGTCAGCTGGTGGAGATTTTGTCTCAAAAGGGATAGAGGCAATTTGCATGAAGGAACCAGAACAGCAGTGATGTGCTGAACACTTACTGAGTGTCAGTTTCTTTATGCATGCTATCCCAAGTTAGATATGACTTCCCCATTTAGAAAATGAGGACACTGATCTTTTGAGAGTTTAGGTGACTTGATCAAATTATACAATATTATATGGAATTAATGTTTGTGCCTCCCTAAAATATATATGTTGAGGTTCATCTTGGTGGTATAGTAGGTAGCAAACCAGACTGCAGTGCTGGAAGCCACATGATTGACTGGAGTTTGGATCCCCAGGTTGTTCTGAAAGCATGATGAGTGTGTACCTAGGATCTTGAGGAGCTGGAGGGCTGGGGAAGGGAGGCATAATGAAACCCTATTTTTCTTTTTCTTTTTTTTTTTTTTTTTTTTTGTTGTAAGATGTTTGTGCTAGCCACAAAGAAGACAGAAAGAGACAGAGAGATAAAAAGCAAGAAATCAGCCCCCAGGGGGGATGGCCATGCCGCAATCCCTTCTCCTCCATTCTCTTCTCGGGATCTTGGGCACACATGCACATGTGCTTGGTGTGAGTCTAAGCCACCGGGCCCAGGACTCGAACTATGGTCGACTACATGGGAGTCCAGTGACATAGCCATTACACTATCTGCTGGTCCCAGAAGGTGTTTTTCTATTTCCTGCATGTGCAAGTGCTCTTTACCATGAATAAATTAAAAATTTAACTTTTTTTTTAATGTCAAAGCCCTTTCAATGTGATGGACTTGGTAGTGAGGCATTTGGGAGGTGATTAGGTTTAGATGATGTAATGAGAATGGACTCTTCATGTTGGGATTAGTGTCTTTGAAAGTAGAGGAGAGCAGCACTTCCTCTCTTCACCATTTGAGGACACAACGAGGATGATCTATTTGCAAGTCATGAAGACAGCCCTGGGTACTGGTATATTGATCTGGGACTTTTCAGCTTCCAGAACTGTCTAAATAAATGTCTTTTGCTTAAACTACCCAGTCTGTGGTATTTTGTTACAGCAGCTGGAGCAGACTAAGACACATAGTAACAGTTTCTTGACTTTCAGCTTTACCCATAGATCTGCTAACACCAGTATCCAATATCCATCCCTTTGCTCTCTGCATCTTCATTTACTCTTATTAATTCCCTCCCTTTGTTTTCAGTAAATGTTTTCATGCTAATGTGGCAGGAAAGTTAGTTCCTGTATCCATCTGCTTCCTCTCTTTC